AGGCCCACAGGAGATGCTGAATTCAGATTTCTGCACTTTCCACGCCCAACCTCTCAGCTCTGACGGATGCGGTGCTGCACGCGCGCCTTCCCGTTTCCCCCTCCTCGATCCCACGGATGCTCCAGGCCTCCCAGATGCTCTTCCCTCCCCTGGGGCAGGCTGCGTGCTCCCCCTTCCCCCAGGCTGTGAGGACATGCCTGAGACCTCCAGGCGCCGGGCCCACCCTGTCACCACTCCTGAGATGCTGAGTACCCTGAATGTGCCGATTGCTTGTGTCTCTCCCACTGAGCGGAGGTCAGGACGGGCAGGAACCACCTTCCACACATTTTATGTGTCAAATGCTCCCAAGTAAACACCTCGAGGAACACACCTCAGGCGCCGTGCGGGGTGCCGTGGATGGACGGAGAGCAGCAGCCACACAGGGTCCAGGCGTGTCCGTCCTCCGTGATACTCCGCGCCATCTCTGAAAGCCCTTTTCTTGCCCTCCTGGCCTCCTTACCTCATCAGAGAAAACTTCATCTCTCCTCCTAAACCCTCCACTGAGCACGGCCGACCGGAGCTCTTCATTCAAACCCAGCACTGCCTTTCAGGGGCAGAAGGCGCATGCCTCCCACTGGACTGGGAGCCCGCTGCGGGCAGCACCATTTCCATCCGCAGGTGACCCGCCTCCAGCCCGCGGGATCCAGAGAACGGAGGTGCTTGGGGAGCCTCGCCCGAGTTGACCCAAACTTCCTGGACGCCCTGCAGACATGGCGCCCCAGGCAGACACCCCATGAACACTGGGCCCCCGTGACCGTGCTTTACCTCTTTAAGGACCAGCACGCATTTGCCTGGCCCCACGGACTGCGGGAGCTCTGCGATCCTCCCCTTGTTGAGGTAAGGGCCTGAGAAGCACCGGTGATTGATGAAGAGCTGCGGACAGCAGTACTTCCCGTTGACAGTCCCTGCAGGGAAGGGAGACACAGCAGAGGCTTAAGGGACCGAACAAAGACTCGCTGAGGCCACTCCATATGCAGAGGTGCACCGCGTCCTCACACCAGCACGCTTCACAGCCACAGTAAGATCTTCGACATCCTGATCATGTTTTCTACCACGCAAATGACCTTTTCTGTTTACTAGGCAGGATGCAAGACACAAAATGCAAAAACTAAGACAGTGACAACTGAAGTATCACACAACGTGGCTTAAGAAGGGAAGAAAAAAAACCCAGTTACACAGCTAAGCTCCCCTCTGTCCTACCCTGGAAACCGCCCAATCTTTCCTCCCAGGCATCCAGGACCCTGAAGCTGCCACAAATCCTTCCCAGGCAAGCTAGAGGCTTCACCACACACCTATGTATGTGTGTATTTACAAGCAATACAGGGTGTTTGGATTATTTTTAAAAATATTCCATAAATGGTTTTCTGCAACATTTTGTTAGTGCAACATGAGGTTTCTGAGCTCCATCCATGTCGGTAAATGTCTACCTAGAGCAGCCATTCCCTTTTCACTTCTGCATAGTGTTCCATTGGGTGACTAGAGCGTTTGAATGTGAGTTTTCCATTCTCTTACTGACGGATAGCCACTTGTTTCCACTTTGTACATATCCTGACATGGTTCTCTTAAAGCCATCCTGAAGTCTGAATTTCTTAAGACAGGCAAAAAAAAAAAGTCCACAGCTGCATTTACACGGAACTTTGGGGGCAGAATGACTCTGCCCAGACCTTCAGGAAAAAACCAGTATCCGTAAGTTTACTCATCAAATTGCTCTCTTTCCTACAGAGAACTCTGACTAGCAGGAGTCCTCCACGGCCCGTGGATTTTAACCCTGGAATTCAGAACAGGTTTCCTATTGGCTGGAAAATAGACTTCTTCATCAAAGATATTACTTGATGTACAAACACGTCTATAATCAGATCTGTGGTCAGAGGGTCACTCACATTTGCGTTTTTAAACGTTACTGTTAAGTTGCAGGACTTCATACATTAAAAAAAAATACACTGTTCCCAACCAGCTATTCAAACACGGAGGGTTTGAAGGAACAATTCAAAAACCCGAAGGGACTTGAGTATTAACCAGCAATATAAAATACTTGTACAATTGGCATAAAATGTTCCCCAAAAATCCCTAATAATGATATTTTCAACTCTTTCTTTTCCACGTGATTCTTCGTGATCCACAGTCCTAACTGGACTCGTAATTTCCAAGAAACACACAGATCCTCTTTCTCCTCAGACCAAGAGAAGTGTCTAGAGCTACTGGCCAAGAAGCAGAAAAGAAGAGGCATTGAGAATGTAGCTTGGAATTTTTTTTTAAGTAGGTATCTGTTACTAGGCAGCAATAGAGAAAAAGACAGTAGGCTCAAAGCTGAGTCTCATGTTGACCGAAAAATACAGCCACGTCTCCACTCAGAGCAACGCAAGGGGGACAGACGGGAGCCCCAAGCAGCTGGTTTACCTGTGGCGTCCAGGTGAGGGAATAAACAAAGGTCATGAGGTATTTTCTCAACAGGCACTGTGGATGGCAATCTGTTGACAAAGAAAAGAAAAAATCTCGTGGGTCACACCCTTCAGGAGACAACTGGTACCTTCCAAAGTTTTTTCATAACTGAAAGCAGCTATGAGACAGATCTAAGCTGAGAACGTGGTGAGATCCAGCCTGGCATCCGTAAGGACAGGTGAGACCACCAGGGGCCGTTCTCCCAATAATGCCAAGAAGCCGACAGATCACCTGCCCCTCGAGTGACCATCACTGATCTCTGAGGCTCTCGTTCTTCTAGGTCACTTGAGGGCCTGTCGCTCGTGACGGAATTAGAATCACGTCCTAGTTACATTCAGGACATGCAGAAACACCACCTTGCGTCAGCTCTCGCGGAAGTCAGACTTCTCGTCCATGTCTACTTAAAAGAACTTTCTGCTGACCTTTGATTCCTGGGGTCTGTGCTCGTGTGGGTCGTGGCCACACTGAAAAGATCTTTAGAGAAAACCTACGAATGGATGATTTCCTGAAATGTGATGCAGGCTGATCAGCCGAGGACTGAAGTCTGCGTTACAGCTCACTAAAAGTTGCTGAGTAAACAGAAAAATGGCAGCCTCAGGGCGAAAGAGGCAACCAGGGTTCCAGAGGGATACCCGGGTTGACTACGTAGAAACCACACAGTTGAAACGCTAAGTGAACTCAAAGGAAACTGTAACGAGAGACCTTAATGGGGTCATCGAGGGCAGTGGTTCTCAAAGGGTCCCCAAACCGTCAGGTCAGCGTCACCTGGAAACCTGCCACCCTTGTGGATGCTCAGTCCCCACCGGGGACATCCTGAGTCAGGAATTCTGCAGACAGGGCCCAGCAATCTGTTTTAACGGGCTGCCTAGTGACACAGGCAAGTCAAGGTTGACAGCTGCTGATCCATGGACTGCAAGTTTAGGAGTCACGGGTTCAAATTCTGTTTTTCACTTTTTATTTCAACATTATCCAGGCGAATTGGGAGCTAGATTATTAACCTGATGCACTGTGTTTGGAAATGTGAAAAGAGTACCCACAAAACTGCCATTCACATCGAACAACAATGCAGTTGTTATTCAATTTCATTTTACTTAAGTTTCAACTTGGGTACATGAAAAAAAAAACAATGCAGTTGTTATTCAATTTCATTTTACTTAAGTTTCAACTTGGGTACATGAGAAAAAAAAAAAAGCTGCTCTCAATTCCTTTCCCATCAGTACATTCAGAAACCAGAATCACCTGGTAAGGGATGTGACATGACTGTGGTACATCCCAGGTATTTTCCAATATATGAAAAGGCTTCCAACAGTTAAGAGTTTTCCAAAATCATATCGCCTGCATGTTCACACGCTGCCGAGCACCCTCCTTCCTCAGAAAATTACAGTCAAAACACGGGGTAACCTACGTTTGTTCAGCAATGGACGCCCACATATTCTTCACATGGAATCTAATTTAATCTTCTTAAAACCCCCGAGAAATGGGTATTTTACAAAGGAGGGCATGGAGGACACAGAACTAGAGCGTCTCACTCCAGCTCCCCCGGCTGGGACAGGGCTGAGCTGAGGCCTGGACGTGGCAGGGGAGGGGGTCACTGAGTGGGGACAGGCAGCTGTGGGGGGGTCCCCCACCCCAGGGCCTTAAGTGCCACCATCACAGCCTCACCCAGCAGCAGCGTGTGAGACTGGGCCGCCCTGCGGGCCCGCTGAGGTGGGACAAAACTGAAGTCACTATCGGGAGAAGAAATTCCTGCACAAGCAGGCCCTGCGGCCTGTACGTATGAGACGCACAGTAAGTAACCTGAGGTGTATCTGGCTGTGCCCTTCACTGTTCCGCTGGGGGTCACCGAGCCCCTCCCCAGAACAGCCCTGATTCCCAGCCTCTTAAAAGATGCGTCGGAGTTTATCACGTCATTTTTGAGGGGGAGAAAAAAACTTACTGTTTCTCTGGTTGCACAACTGCGATCTTTCTCTTCTTTTGTGCTGTAACACATTCAAAAAAGGGGAAAAAAGGCAGCTTTGGTAGAGAGTTAGGAGTAAGCATTTTTTAAAAACAGCTCAGTGTAAAACTGCGTCCATTTTAAAGTAACAATTTAAGTACAAAAAAGTTACTGCATTTGTATCGTGATTTTTTTCCTCCAGCATGTTTCCTCCAGCATGAAGTAGACTCTGACTTCACAGAAATGAGGTCTAAATAGAATTTAGTGTATTTAATCTTATCACTACACTGGCTACTTTCTCCTAAAATATGCTTCTAATACAAACAAAAAGAACGCACATAGCAAACTTCCCAGGAACAGAGCTGGTAAGATCAGCGGGGGTGTCAGCGCGATTATCCAGATGACTTTTTTCCCACAGGACGTGCGATAAGTCAAATAATGCTACCATAACAGCCTGCTCCCGAATTAGGATTAGAGGCATGTTTATAAACTGAAACACTTTATCATTAAAAGGAAGACTGGCAAATATGTCTGTCAAATGGTGACATAAATCACCCAACAGTAAACTTCGGGATAAGAACATTTCCAGTTTACATTTATAATTGGTTAAAATCAAGCAACATGGATGGAACTAGAGATTATCAGACTAAGTGAAGTCAGCCAGACAGAGAAAGACAAATACCATACGATACCATTCACATGTGGAATCTTTAAAAAAAAAAAACAAAAGGACACAAATGAACTTATTTACAAAACAGAGACAGACTTACAGACACAGATAACAAACTTATGGTTAAGGGGGAGAAAGGGGGTGGGGAGGGACAAGTTGGGAGCTCAGGATTTGTAGATACTAACTGCTACATAAAAAATAGACAACAGGGTCCTACTGTACAGCACAGGGAACCACATTCAATACCTTGTAATGGCCCATGATGAAAAAGAACATGAAAAGGAATATATATACATAACTGAACCACTGTGCTGTACACCAGAAATTAACACAATATTGTAAATTGAGTATACTTCGATAAAAAGAATAGAAAAGGTAATAATAAAATAAAGTCAGCTTAACAAGGACAGACCAGAGCTTCTGGCATCTATTAACTTGGGCTTAGATAATTCTGACTCTTCCAACGTTAGCATGAATTAATCCTAACAGAACTTCTAAAGCTGTCGGAGTTTGGCAGGTTTATTTAGACTTCGCCTCTTCAAAGCAAAATGTATGTGTGAGAGATAAAATGAAAGCAAGAATAAATGAGTGGAAGAGTGACTCAGAGTTCATCTCTTCTTGACTTGATCTAGTATCTAATTCCAGCACAGGCAGACCTCAGAGATACTGTGGGTCCACTGCCAGATCACCCCAACAAAGCAAGTACTGCAACAAAGGAGTCTCAGGGAATTTTCACCATCATCTGAGCCTTCGGTGAGTTGCAGTAGTGACAGCAGAGATCACTGATCACCGATCACCGTAACAACTGTAATAATACTGAAAAAGTTAGAGAGAGTGTGAGAATCGGGGGGAGGGTGGGTGTAGCTCAAGTGGCAGAGTGCATGCTTAGCATGCACGAGGTCCTGGGTTCAATCCCCAGTACCTCCTCTAAAAGGAAACAAATGAATAAACCTAATTACCCCTCAAGAAAAAAGACAACAAAAAAAGGTTTTCTAAAGAAATATTGCAAGAATTACCAAAATGGGATGTGAAGTAAGCAAATGCTGTTGGAAAAATGGTGCCAATACAGTTATTTGACAGAGGGAAGGCACCTTCAATTTGTAAAACAAAACAAAACAAAACACACTGTATCTGTGAAGACAAGGTCTGCCTGCAATGACTACGGGGACGCATAAACCCTGGTCCCTACAGTGAAAGGTGAGCACAGCCCCCTCGTCTAACTCAGCCTTTGCGAAGACGGTGCGGGGCCTGACCTGGGCGACGTTCCGACAAGGAGGCAAACTCAAGGGGCCGGGAAGCAACACAGAAAGCAGAGAGGACACAGGATTGTGTTCACCTTAACCCGTGTGTGATTTTGTGCAGAAACACTCAAAGCGCTTGTCACCCCCCAGATCCACAGGAAGCGGGAAGGGGCGACAGGGCACGAGTTTCTGTCCGAGGCAGAACCAAGGGCAGGAGGTTGGGCCCAAACCCGAGGCAGCCCAGGGAGGACCGGGCTAGTGGCCGTGGGGGCTGAGAGTCAGGGACCCACCCCCTCCTTCTAAGTGAGAAAAAGAGAAAAAGAAAAAGAACAGCCTTGAGACTGAAATAATTATCCTACGCTCCAATTTTTGGAAATAGTTTAAAGTGAGGGCAAGGTGGTCTTCTCATTGGATTCAGTGCCCAGTACAGTGCCCGGAGGAAAGAATCTCTTAAAACCCACCTCCGTCTAAGATCGGGGCCCCGACTTTGCTTCCGGCAGATAATGCCACATCCTACTCTCACTGATATGCAGTAGGACCCTTAAGTGTGCTTCAAAACCTGCTGACACCAGGCAATGGGAGGTTCACCACGGGATGGGACTTGAGAGCAGTGTTCTGAGCACCTACAGAAGTGAACCGTATCATAGGATGCTAAAGAAGTAAGCTAGCCTGTAAATTAATGAAGTATTAGAAACGTGACCTATTTCACAGAAATTTACAACTCTTGATCTTTAAGGATCAAAGTTTTAAGGAATACTTTGGATGCGCATTAGGGTGGAATAAAAAAATGCCAAGATTTATTAGGTCTGAAGATTTGTAGACGGCTACCATTTCAGGGTGATGACACGTTAAAACACACGCTTGTATATATTTAAGGAGGGGGGTGTGTATGTGAGAGAGAGAGACAGAGACAGAGAAACAGAGACAGACAGATGCTGGGTTGTTCAGCTATCAATACTGTTTAATTTGGTATTTTTGTGATCAGACAGATGTGATGCACACATTTCAAAGAACATTTGAAATGTCACTAGTCAGTGTTAGAAGCAGTTCAGTGTTTATCTCAGTAAATTATTGGGGCCCATGGTGATGCTCTGGGGGTGAACCTCATGAGAAAAACTAGTTCTTTCTCAGATATGATCATACAAACATAGAGCGGTTGGCTTCATTTTTTTTTCTAATCAAGAGACTGAACTGTATACGAAATGGGGAGCGAAGGTTCCGGATGTCCATCCCTGCCTCTCCGTGTGCCTTTAACTGCCTCATCACTGTGACTCAGTTTGTCAACCCGGGAAATGCTTCCAAATGTTAAACTCGGGCAGACACTTTAAAGGACAAATGAGATAAAAATAATCTGGGTGAAATCAAGGAACTTTTCTGAAGTTTACACCATGGCTCTACTAATTCTCTTTACAAAAGTGCCTGTTTACTCATCTGAATCCCAGGCGTCATGCACCTGGGCTCCGAGCCGGGCGGTACTTACAGACCGTCTTGTGCGGTGTGGTCAGAGGGTAGGAGTTGGCCTCACACCAGCCCACGGGGAAGATGTCCATGGACTCAACATCGACAATGAACTCTGGAGCCGGACTCTGCAGACCTGCGGGGAAGCCGAGACAACAGCTGCAGGCAGGTTTTACCAACAGAGACACGGAAGGAGGAGGGGAAACACAGAGCATCCCTGAGATGGAGGGAAACACGCCATAAAGCCGACGGTGTCGTACGACCGACACAAAAGCCTGAAATGCCAAACAGCAAGAGTGCAAGGCGTCCAGACAAACAGGGTTTGGAAAAGAGAGGAAGAGGGAGGAATCTGGTAACACTTGGCAGCTGCGCCAGAAGTGCCGGGAAAAAAAACAAGCATCGTTCTTTCTCTAAGAACAGCTTGGAAATTAAGGAAACGTGGTCCAGCCTGTGGGTTGGTGGGGCAGCGAGCCATCCTTCCCCCAACACCAAGCAAAGGGCAACCTTCAACCACTGAAAGTTAAACGTCCCAGTTAAGAGACTCAGCAACACCGGCGCTGAGCGGCGAACGCGGACAATGCAACTTCCTAGGGGACGTGTTCATTTACACGTGACTGGAGTCACTTATTCTGAACTCAGTGTGTGGTCAGCACACTTTTGCCACGTCACACACAAGTCCTTTACACAGGAATGTCTCTTTAGTGGGGAACCTAAGGACGGCCTCCTGTTTCACCATCATAATGACGCCCTGCGCTGAGTCGGCATCCCAGCCGAGAGATTCTGTAAGAAAGAAAAGATCTGGATCACATGTGAGCGAAGGGTTCAAGGAACTCCGGCTCCTGAGAGAACAAATGTAGGACTCAGCAAACCTGTGAAGGGAAGCAAATTCTACACCGAATTCTACACTTTGAGGGAAGACACTCCTGAACCAAGAATCACAAGATAAGAACGCTGTTAACAGAATGACTCCCTGGCTCTAACCACTTAGTGTTGCTTCGCTTTGGTTTCTTCACCGAGAATCGAGATGAAAGTAACAGCAGAACCCCAAGCACACACCCACGTTGTCACACGTCATCTGATGAACTCTGGGTCACAGTCCCCCTAAAACGTAACTTCCTGAAGCTAAATCCTGGCAAACACAAGATGGTCCAAACCACTTCAGCTACGCTGGCTCCCCGTCTCTGTGACTTCCCGTCACAAAGTAGGCACTGTGAAAAACAGGAGCACGTTATTTGATACACGTAGGTTCCCAGTTTAGCACGAAAACACTCTGTGCACACACAGTGCCCCGGACACTCTGACAAAGGGTTCTTACACACGCGTCGTATCACCACCGGGAGGCACGCATAACTTCTGCTTTGTTCTCAAAGAAAGTCATCACCGTGATTATCCATCCTAGCTTGCTTTTCACTGAACTCTCCTACCATCTGAAAGATACACCAGCTAAAAGAACTCGAGGGGATTTACGGGCATTACTTGGGGGATTATTTACAGGGGTTGCTACTGAGTAAATAGAAGGCATTCTGTCTTACACGGCTCAAACAACACTTAACCTATCGGCCAAAGAATCACTAAATTAACAAGACCTCCCGAACAGGCAAGAGGCTAAGAAACTCTCCAAGCGGCTTCAAACGTGGAAGTGATTTTTCTTGTCCAGAAGGACCCTTGTCCAGTGAAAAGGGTCTGTTTCCCATGACACAGGGTGTGTCCTCTTCAGACCCACAAAAATACAAAGACAGCACATTACTTCTTGCCACCCAACAGGTTTACTAACAGGTTGAATTCATCTACGGGATACGTTTGTATTTCCCGGTGTATGCCTGGGTACAAACTAGATTTTCCAGGTCAACAGTATTTTCAAGAGGAAGCACAAAGTGAACTTCATGGCTTACTCCTCCCTGAGTTATTTTTGTCTTCTGATGTCCTGCTGGTTTGCACATCACTTCATATTCATACTTGAACACAGACACTTCTGTAACAATGTATACAGTCATGTATTTCTAAGGCTGGCTTTACCATACTTTGAAATTATTTGATCATGCTTCCCATTCATTAAACAAATACTTACGAGCTACACTGGGTCAGCCACCACGTTCTCAAGAAAGTTCTAACCCTGCCTTCCTTCCAGCCCCAAATTTAGCCCTTCAGGCATCTGTGGAGCAAGAGATGCTGGGAACGTGCGGTATTTATTACCCGGGAAGGCACTTCTGATCCTGAAACCCTGTCCGTCCTATCCTGAAGGAGGGGCAAGAATTCTGTATTTCCCTTTATCCATCTTACGGATCCAGACATATCTGGCTGGACTCACAATAATTCTTTAACACATAACCATTGTTTCCTAAGACTGGAGAATCAGGAGCTTACAAAACTAAGTCATTAAACACGTTGCCAGTATTCCTTCCTGCTTATTCTAGGATGGCCAAAACCACCTACGCAAAGCGAGATGTTCCACTAAGGACCTCTGCGTTGCTTGTCGTCATTTTGTAGAAACGTCTCTCATAAACAACACAAGGCTGTACGTGATCTCTGATTTTTGCTTCAGTTGCACCAAGTCAAGATGAATAAAACTTACTCATTCTTACCCAGGACTTTCATCTCAAAAACCACCAGGAAGCCTAAATCTCCATCTATGGGTAAGTACTTAAATAAGTCATGGTACTTCCACATGATAGAATATTCTGCGCTATAAAAAAGAATGAGAAACCCCTTTATATATTTACACGTACAGATGTATATTTGAGTAAAAGAAAAGCAGGGCACAGAACACTGTATATTTAGCTTGCCACCATCTGCTTTAAAGGGGGCAAATAACATATTTATATACATGTGCAGAAGATAAATCTGGAAGAAATGAAAAATCCTAATTCAGTGGGTGTCTGCTGAGAACAGCACTGGCAGTGGGGCAAGATGGGGGAGACAATGTGGAAAAAGGTATTTTGTGTATTTCTGGCCCTTGTGAATGAATTACCATGTCACGATGCCAACCTCACCATCGTCACAGTAACAACACAACAAAGATGATCAGAGGAGAAAGGAGGCTCTCATCTGCATACAGCATTGCCCCAGAGGTCAGACTAACAGAGGACCTGAAAAGGAAATTAAGCTACAACGATGAAAAAGAATATGAAAATGAATACATGTGTGTATATATATTTATGCATGACTGGGACATTGTGCTGTACACCAGAAACGGACACACTGTAACTGACTATATTTCAATTAAAAAAATAAAAAAGAAAACCTGCGCTGGGCCATTTCACTGCAAAGAGGAGAAAGCCTTTCCAACTGTACAAGGGTGTAAGTTTGTAGGACTCACTCTGGAACCTTGAAAGATTTTAGCAACTGGCTACCTCCTGAGTCTCTGTCCTCAGACCAGCAGAGATCATCCACTTCCATGAAGTTCCTCCTGCCCGTCTAGCTGCGGACCGTCTCAAGACTTAACCCAGCAAAGGACTCGGGGCCTTGCAACAGAATCGGTGACCGGTTCAATTCGGAGCATCAGGACGAAACAATAAAGCTGCGATGACGCTGAGGTACCCTCCCAGGAACAGAACCCAATCCAGTTCCTCCCACCACGTAACTGCTTCATTCTCAGATAATTACGGAAGAGAACAAGCCTGGGGGCCAGAGGCGAGAGGGCTATGAGGGCAGAGGCCAACAGTGAACCATGGAGGAAGGTAAGTGACGTTCACGGGCTTCAGTAACAGAGTCGGAGCAACCCCTGCATCTCGAGTAAAAGCCGGCCTGGGGGGAAAGGCAAGAGGTATTTACTGAACCCAGTTAACTGTGTTCAGGACCCTCATTAATAAAGGCCACACCGAATTGTGATGAGCTGGTGCTGGAGACCCCGTCCGCCATCCAGCACAGGCCCTGCACCTGCAGACGCCGGCCTACAGAAGATCTCAGAGTGTCCCCTGCCACCTTCGGAGCTAAACTCCTAAGGAATAAAGAGACGGACGAAAGCGTGGCTTGGCAAGACCAGCACGGGATAGGAACCGATCCGAAGGAAAACCACAGAAATGGGATTAAATGTGTGAGCGGAGGGAGAGTGCCACACACAGGATAGCAGAGCCTTATAGCACAATCGGACTGTTTTCATCCCCATTTTATACAGGAGTAAACTAAGGGTCAGAAAAAGCTCACACAGCCGGCAGGAGCTGGACCAGGATCTGAATCCCGGCAATCTAGCTCGAGAGCCTCAGAAAGCATCTGAGGAGGTGCTTGCTTCCTCCCTCTTGTTTTTGTTTCCGTATTTTTTTTCTTTTCTTGAGGGGGAGGTGTTGTCTGTTTAGCGTCTGTCTTGTTCCTGCTAGGGCCCCATATCCCTTCTGCAGAACTTCCATTAAAGGCAGCCAGAAGGCGAGGGGTCAGATCCACCGTCCGCAGGCCCAGGACCACGGGCTCGGGCCTCCTGCAGGAGAACGTGGTCCATCAAAAGTCACGTTCACGACAACGGCCCCATGGAAGCCCAGACCTGCCTGCGGCCGCCTTCGGGAAAGGCGATCCCCACTCTGGGCCTTCCCCCCACATTCCCATTTTGCTTAGGAAAGCCAGAGCCAGGTCTGCTGCTGGCCACTAAGAACCTGTCCGACGGAGCACTGGCTTTTGGGACAAAACTGAATTGGAGTCTTAACAGCCTGTTCACAGACAGCACCCCTCTGTGACACCTCCCTTCACTGTGCAAGGACGTGTATCTCCTGCGCCCAAGACACGCAGATCTGCTGAAGCAGCTCCTCCCAAAAATGTCTCTCGCAGGCCAGACCTCTTTTTAAAGATTAAAAAAAAAAAAGCCACGCTGGCTTGAAATAGACTTAATTTCACATCTGCATCCTCCCTTGGTTCATTTTTGCAGATCTCTGTGAAATGCTTATTAACCACCTGACTTTTTCACCAATTCCAGGGAGGCTTAAAGGGCAGTTTCTGCACCTGGTCTCCTGCACAGAAGAGGAGGCCTCCCCCAAGGTTCTTGGAATCACGCCACCACGCCTTGCCCACCTGAGCTCCTAGAGTCCCTTACCAACTCTCTCTGCGTAAGAACCATCTGGGGAGGGTGACTTTAAAATACAGATTCCCTGACCCTGCTCCCAGGACTCAGGGGTACAAGGCCTTGGGTAGCCCCAGGAATCTGCATTTTAACAGGACAAATTATGATGTGGAAGGTGGTTTCCTGGAACTGAACCAAGCACACGGGGAAAAAAAAGCTGACCAAGGAGTCTCTGAATTTTACAAGTATAAAATTATCTCATGGTCTCAAAATTCGGTTAGCAAGACAGCGGTTCTGAGGGGGCTGCTGGTATCTGACATCACAGCCTCGTTCAGCAACACAGATTTTATTTATTCCTTGTTAACTATTCAGCAAGCATTTTAGCAGGCAGAGCACGGGTGAACTCCTGTGCCAACACCGCGCTGTGTGAACCGCGGGCACATCCATGAAGATGCCAGATGCTGGCAGACAGGGAGGGTCCAGGCGGGCGGCACACGGGTTATGCCAGGGGGTGAGGCTGAAATGAAGTGGAGCTGCCTTTCTTGCTGCTCATCAAGCTCCTCCACTTACACACTACAATGTGCCCAACACAACTACAGCACTTTACAGGTGCGGGTTCACGCCGCCCATCCCCACAAGCCTCCTGTAAGGCAGAAGCTGCTACTTTCTGCATTTCACAGGGCTGCACAAGTAAGAACAGAGATGCTCACGAAATACTCCGGATCACATGCCCAGGGAGCAGATGCGTACGTCGGGAGGGGCGGCTGAGTGCCGAGTTAGGAAATTTGAGTCTCTGCTCCGTAGCAAACACAGACTCGCTGAATCTTAGGAAGAAGGCAATGATTGTCTTGTATAAAACTGACTCTTCTATCTCCATGAAAGTGGGAGAGAAAGCAGTTGGCTGACTGCTGACAGCCTAAGAGATGAAGACTTAGAAACAGGCTGGCAGTGAGAGGATGCAGATGGAGAGGGGGTCCTGGGGACCATTCTCGAAGGTCAGCGGTTTCTCAGTTGCGCTAAGATCGCCAGGTCCCAGATTTAACTTCACAGGAATCTGGTACAAGACAGACCTCGACCCTTGAGGGAAATCAAATTTCATGCCCACCCTGGTCTTGGCTTTCCCCTCCACGCCTGTGATGCCATCAATCTTTCCACAAAGGGCTTGGGCAAGAAACTCTATTGACCTTACTTAGTCAGGGTGGCATCTCATTCATTCATTCTTCTGTTTGCTTGTTCATTTATTCATTCATCAAACGTATTTGAGAGTCTACAAAGTTCAGGGTAAAAGGAAGGCAATTCAGGCCTCGGGGCCCTGGGCAGACAGTGGTGTGGACGGACCGGAACCTCTGAGAGGCACAGACGGATAGGCTGCCCTGGGCAAGGAGAAGCCACCGGCTGCACGTCTGCCTGGGAAGCAGTGAGACCCTAAATGCCCCGCGGATTCTGTGCAGCCAGCGGATGTCAGGTTTTGCTCTGCATGTTCTAGAACTCTCTACAAAATTTCCTGTAGCGGAAACAATGAAAGGGCTAAAGAACCCCGCAGAAATGAAGCCTGCAGACTGTGACGCCTTTTTACGACCTGAAAGGGATTTCTGTGTCAGCTAAAAGGCTGAAATCCCTAACATTCAGGAATATGGAGAGTATCGCGCCTCTTCGAAACGAGTGTTCACATCAGTGGGGCTAAGAGAAACCAAGGATGGCCGTGCAAACATGTCACCCGCCCCCAGCGCTGTGAGTTAATGCGCTTCGGGGACAGACAGAACACGCACAGCCCGTCTGTCCTGCAGGAACATGAACGGAGCATGACGTGGTCACGGAGACGCGGATGCAGACCAGGGGGTGTGTGAGCCGGCATGGGGGGCAATGGTTCGAGAGGAATGAACACTGAAGGTAATTCGTGTAATCTGAACAATGCTTGCAACTGCAGAGATGACAACCTGGAGCAGAACGTTAACATCAGAGAAAGCACCGCAGCTGCCCTCCCTGAACACAGACCCCCGCAGCACACACCACCCGGCTCGCTGGCGAGTGCGTGAGAACTTGACATCCTTTCCAACATGCACCCAAAGTAACATCACACTGACCTCACCGCTGTCTCTTCAGCATCAGCTCCTTTACTGACACTTAAAAGAACCACCTGACTTCACGAGAAGTCAAATATTAAATTAAAACGATCATTCTAATTACCTAAAAGTAGTCAATTAGCCATGGGTTGGAAGTATTTCAGATCAATTTAATACATAAAAATAACTAATAAATTGTTATGAAGCACCTTATAAATTTAAAGTGTCATATAAACGGTCGACAATTGGGCTCACCATCATCATAAAAGCAATTTAACTGCCACAAAGTGACTATCGTGAATCTGTAATATTTTTGTCCCCAGGACTGAGGAAAGGAAATACCGTATATGTGAAAGTCTGAGATACTAAGAAAGAAGTCCCATTAAGCTTGCTGTTAACTTTGACTAAAAGGTCAATGTTCGGCTAAGGGACAAAAAAAACAAAACAAAACCCCCCAAACTCAAAATTTAAGAAAGATTAAGCAGACTGGGTGAATCTGAACTTTGACTAAAGAGATAAATGCGGAACTTTGACCAATAACATCAGATACACAAAATTCAACAAACTATTCTTGAAAATTCTTTTAATACATAAGGTCTGGAAAAATGCATGATCCGCTTTCAGACCTGCTTCCTAATGCTAACTGACCTTCCTTACTCATGGACGAGAGGCCTCCGGGGAACAAGAGAAAGAGCTGAAGTGAACCGATGTGCGCCATAAAACCAGAAATTTATATCCAAAGAAAAACAGCACTGAGGAGGAAAGACTGTCAAAAATGTTAAATATACACTAAACATTGCTCCTAATTCCTTTTTCCCCTTCTCCCCAGTCCAGGGCAACTATCTTTTTTTTGGGGGGGGTAGGGAGATAATTAGGTTTGTCTTTTTAATGGAGGTACTGGGGATTGAACCCAGGACCTCGTGCACGCTAAGCACACGCTCTCCCACTGAGCTGTACCCTCCTCACCACTTCATTCGTTTTAAGAACTGGGAACTGAAGGGTCTTCTAAGTTAAGCAACAAAGATGCCAACAGCCGTGGACGCGAACCCCAGGCCTACCTCAATGACTTAGCCTGATTCTCCATCTATGAGCAGTCAAGGACCCTCTACTGCTGTTAGGTGATCAACGGCTGTAAGGCGCTCTGGAAGCTCAAACTGCTCAGCAAGTCATGCCTGCCCAGGAATGTTAACCGTGATGCCCTAAATACCGAGGAAAACACAGGCTTTGAACTTTACCATTTTTGTTCTCAAATTGATGATGCAAACAAGACTCTCACCACGCACAGAACGAGGGTTAGCGCAGAACTCGGTAGCGCTTTCAGTTCAGGGATTTAAAATCCCAGAAGGGATCTTGTTTTTCCAAGAGCGGCTGATTCATCTTTACACGAAATCATGGCAGGAAGCTCATCTTCTATTCCAACAGCTGCAGAATTAGCACCTTTGCACCCATACCCACATTTTGGCTAATTCTAGCCACAGGCCATTCATTCTACTTGAAAATCCACTGAGCAACCAACTTTCTGAGAATTCCTTTCATTTCAGCTTGATTTTGAAATCCTAAGCCATAGTAATGTTTTAAACTATTTTCTTGGAATTAACAATACACACGACTTTCAGCTAAAATCACTGTTCTCTGCCTCTCCCAGTCTCCTGAACTAACATTCATGAGACAGTAGGCCTAGCAAAGAAACATCAACCCTTTTTAGACTTGTTCAGTGAGGAAAGAGGATGAAGGTCTGTTAGCATCAATTCTATGACCTTCCAAACTTTCTCTTCCGATGTCGTAAAAATTAAAATACGGACAAGGAAAGCTAACATCGTTTTATCACTCATTTCTAGCACCTTATTCTGTTCCCACACACGTCTGAAATATCTACCAAGTGCTGTGAAGCCGGAAAACACTCAAATGACTAACAGACAAACGAAAGACCTAAGGAATTTTAAATCGCCAAAAGGCGGCAAAAGCTTAGAGATCAAATTCCCTTTAATTCCTCCTCACTGAAAATACAGCATCTGAAAAATCCAGCCTTCGATCTAAAGGCGACAATGGAATCAAGGTTGTGCTTCCAAAGCGCACTGCGCTGTGAATGGCCCGTGTGATTATAAATAAAATGCAGGCACGAAGAACAGTTGGAACATCACTCAGCAAACAAGCCTCGATTCTGTTTATTACGTATTTTGGGGACAAAGTCATGTCCAGTTACTATTTTAAGGAAAAATTCAACATCTCCTAATGAAGCCAGAGTAAAGGGTATTACTCATATTAAAATGCAAATTTTATCCTCTTAATAACCAAGACCTCAAATGCCAGCTTTAGTGACTCGTATTAATTTCATTGTGACATTAGCTTTTATAATCGTAGATGCAAAAAGACCCCTGTGTTCCAAACATAATTATCACGCCGGCATCTCACGTCATGAAATTGTTAGTTAAGACGAGAGCCTCTGAACGAATTTATCTTTTGATTAGGTTCACTTATTGAAGAACGCTGAATAATTTAAGAGGGATTTTAAATAAAAAGGAAAGCAGAAGGGACCGTGAGCGCTGCTTCCGAGCCGGGCTGAGGTCTCCTGCACCCTGCGGCTCCCAGACGCACCCGAACCCAGAGCGCCTGCTGCGTGTGCGTACCTTCCAGGCAAAGCCACATCAGCCTCCCCTTCACGCCAACGACCGAGGCCACGCAGAGCTCTCCCGGGTTCCTGGGGTTCACGGCTTCAAGCTTCATGTTCTTTGTGAAACCCCGACTGAATGATGTCTGAAAGAGAAAGAGAATGGACACTGAGCCGGCAGGTACCTCAGGGATAAGATGCAACAACAGAGAGGCCAGTGGTGCATGGGACACACACACTCACACACAGAGATCTCACTGATCAGACATTCGGGTGGGCTCACGTGTTTAGTCTTTCCCCACCATTCATGGGGAGAGAACCACGCTTTCTTCACTTATATCCCAGAAACAAGAAGTCCACCTGGTACACAGCAGGCGCCTAATAATGTCTGTTAAGTAAGTGAGGGGATGAGTACATCCTCTCTTCCCCGTTCCGATGCATTCTTGCAACCACAGAATCACTGAAGGACAGATCGCTCGGCCCCTCCCCCGTGCCCCTTGCCCACCGCCTCCAGGGCAGACTTGAGGGTGGCGGAGGTGCAGGGCGCATCCCCCTCGGGGACCACCTTCTTCAGCCTGAAGACTGTCTTCCAGCTTCTCTTTCAGCACAGGTCTGCTGGTGACGAACTCCTAGTTTTCTTCCAACTGAAACGGTCTCTGTTTTCCTTTTGTTCTTTTTGTTTATTTTACTTACTTTTTAAATTCCACTTTTTAGAAACACACACAGAGGGAAATTCACTCTTTTCGGCGTGCGGTTCTCGGAAGGCGGGGCTGTCAGACGGGCGCACGCGATCGCGCAGCCGTCACCACAAGCCGCCACCCCCAAAATGCCCTTGCACCGGCCCTGCGGGGATCCAGCCCTCCCGGACGCCCAGGCCCTTGGCCACTGATCTGTTTTCTGTTCCTGTAATTCTACTTTTTCTACAATGTCATCTAAGTAGACGCCCACACTGCGTAGCCTTGAGTCTGATAAAACAGTTTATCTTTCCCTTTACCAGCTGAAGGACATCTGAGTTGTTTTCGGGTTTCGGTAGCTGTGAATAAAGCCGCTACAGACATTCAAGTACAAGTTTTTGTGTGAACGTAAGTATTAACCTGCCCAAGCCGCTGTAACAAACATCATGGGCCACGAAGCTCCAACAACAAAAACGTACCATCTCACAGCTCTGGAGGCTGGAAATTCAAGACTAAGCTGTCAGCTGGGCTAATTTCTGCTGAGGCCTATCTCCCTGGCTTCTCCCTGTGTCTCCACATTATCTTTCCTTCACGTATGTGGTCTGAGCCCTAATCCCCTCTTCTTACAGGGACGCCAGACATATGGGTTAAGGCCCACCCATACAACCTCATCTTACCTTATTTCTTTCTCTGAACACACTAGATCCAAGCACAGTCACACTCTGAGGTGCTGTGAGTTAGGACTCATGACACATGAGCTTTGGGTTGGAGGACAAAACGCGGCCTCTAACACTAAGTTCTCATTTCCCTACAAACAGGATTGCTGGACCGTATGGTAAGTGCATGTTTCTTGGAAACTGCCAGATCATTTTCCAGCGTACCATCCATTCTGCATCGCCTCCAGCAGTGCGGGGAGTCCCGGGTGCTAGACATCCTCACCAGCACTTGGTGTTGCCAGTTTTTCACATCTTACCCTAATTCTAACAGGTAGGTCTAGCGGTATCTCATTGTGCTGTTAACCTGCCGTGTTCCCTGTAACCAGGGATGCTCAGCGTTTTTTCACGTTGTTTCTTTGTCGTGTGTACCATCTTCCTTGGGGGAGAGTCTTTGTATCTCCACTTGGAAAGTGCACTTTTTTGGAACGCAGAATGGCGTCTTCTTCTTCTGGCTCTCTGACGACACGAATGCACCACCTCCTGGCCTCCACTGTCTCTGACGTGACATTTGCTGGTACTCAGACGGCCGTTCCTGTATTAGGAATGCATCACGTTCCTCCCAGTGCTTTGGAGATTTTTCTGTTTGATTATCAGAAATATGACTAAGTCGTATTTCTTTGTATTAATGCCGCGTGTCCACTGAGCTTCCGGAACCTGTGAATTTAGATCTTTCAGCTACTTTGGTCAGTTTGGAGCCATTGCTTACGCATGTTTTTTCTTCCACAATCTCTGTGGCCACTTCTCGGTCACCAAGTACACATGATACAGTCACTCAGATCCCCGGAGTCCTGTTCACCTTTCCCTCGGTGCCCTCCAGTCTCTTTCTTTTCCTCTCTGTTCCTCAGCTGGAGTAATTCCTATTTTCAAGGTCATGAACTCTGTCATGTTTTCTGCTACTGAGCCCTTCCAGTGAATTAGCTTATCTGAAATGCTGTAATTTTGTACTTCTAAAATTTTTTCTTTTTTAGGCTTCCTACTTCTGTTCTGGCATTTCCCATCTTTTTTTTTTCACTATGAGAATATTTTCCTTTACATCAACTGTTCAAAACTTGAGGGTGTATCAGAATTATCCAGAGAGCCTTTTAAAAACATAGTCTGCTATGGTCTCACCCCAAAGCCTGTGATTCAGTTGATCTGAGGTGAGGCCAGAGAATCTGCATTTCTAACAAGTTCTTGGGCGATGCTGCAGATGCTGCTGCCAGGATTACACTTTGGGAACCACTGCTCTACACCACTGAGTGCAGTTATAATACGGGCTTTAAAATACCTGTCTGCTAATTCCAACATCTGGGTCACACTGGGTTTAGTCTCTGCTGGTTTATCTTTTCTATTGGCAATGGGTCAGATTTTCCTATTTCTTCATGCACTGAGCAACCTGGATTGCAATCTGGATGTTTTCAATGTATGTCATAGAGACTCTACATTGCATTATATTTCTCCCAAGAGTGTTGATTTTCCTGTCTTAGCAAGCAGTTAACTTGGCTGGACTCAAACTACATACTCTTGTCTTTTGCAGAGCAGCTCAAATTTCAGTTCTGTGCTTTCATCCTTGGCACGGCTTCACGGAGTCTGCCTCACACATGCCTGGTTCAGGGATCCGCCAAAGACTTACGCAGAGTTTATGCTCTGAATTTGTGGTTCCCCATCCTGGCTCTCCCTTGAGTCTCCCCTCACTTCCCAGCAGCTGTGGTGCCCAAAGCTGTTATCTGGGGCAACAGGCCAGAAACACCTTGAACCTAGGGTCTCTGTTTACGTCATCCCACACGTTGTCCACCACGGCTGACCCCAGGCCAAAACGCTGAAAACAATGGAACAAACGCCCCCACTATCCCCTTCCCTCAAGTCCTCGTTCCCCTCCAGAATCTGCCTGCTTTGGTTCACTCTCCAGGCTCCCCAGGTGCTAGTTTCGGTATTTCGTCCAGAGTTTATAGCCGCCGTCTGCCGGAGGGCCAATTCAGGATGAACTTACACGGGCAACACCGGGAGCAAAACTCCCTCCTAACATCTTAAAAGAAGTATGAAATTTTCCACAATTACCCACTACTATAAATTTTTTATCAGGCATTACAATGATGGGTAAATATACTTTTTTTAAAAATACATTAACTGAGAAAAACTGAGATAAACAGGTTCCTCTAAGAGAGATCACATCTTTATGTGACTCATGGAAAAAAAAAACCAAGGTAATTCAGTTTCATGTCTTTTTATAAAAGTTTGGGTGAAAATGTAATTACGCCTTTCTGTTACCAGAACAAAACGACCCAATATGTTAAGAAACCAATAGGCTCCTTTCCTTTACGTTTCTTGGGAAATAAAAATCAAACAAATTCGAGGTTGGCTATTTTTCTGCAGGTCACCTGCCTCGTTCACACGTATTAGGTATTGAGCTTCTGTTTGATGACAGGACTCGATAAGCTGCCTGAAAAGCCTCTAAACAAGTTAAGTGCATTTTTTTTCCTGCTTAATAAGGAAACGCTATAACCACATAAACTATTTTCATCTCAACTCACTGCCCGAGGGTAATTTACGAAGGATCAATAGCAAGACTGTTACCTGTGAGTTGATTTTACTAAGCATTTGGCTGCGTCAATCCATTTCGGAACTGCCTCTGATTGTTAAACATCCCTGGGGAAATGTCTTTCGTGCATCCACTTCCCCACCACCGCACCTCTGGTACGCACGAGACGTGTGATTAAAAGTGAATTCATAATAAGCCTTCCACTAAGGGGCACGTGGAGCACGCTCATAGCCCGCAGCCCAGGGCCAGTAATGCCATCCACGTGCCACCAGGCAGACAACCATCCTGTCGATTAAATAAACGGACGGCCAGAAACAAAGGGCAGGGGGGGTATATCTGCAACAAGTGCCTTCAGAGTGGATCCGCCAGCATTTTCACTGAAACAGATTTAAGAATTGGTCCTCCGGCAGACAGATCCCCGGTTCAGGGATCAGCGCTGAAACAGATTTAATCTTGGAAGCTAAATCCTGGAAGCTCAGCGGGATACGGCTGCTTGCCCCACCACAAAGATCCGTTTGGACAACTGCTGGCTGATGGAAGCAGAGGACAGATAAGAAGCAGCCTTGGGGGCTGTCACTGTCCACTGTCCGCTGTCACAGATGAAACAGCTCCTGAGCCCAGAACGAGGGGGAGATGTGAGGAACCTCCCAAGGCCAAAGAGTCAGGCAAGGACTATCTCTCATCTGGAACAAAGTGCAACCTCAACGCTCTGAGGAGGTGACGAAGGGTTTCCACAATCCCAAACTAAAGGCAGTGAGGCCAGTGATGTCAATATGGTGAAAAGTCCGGTAAGACTGCGCTGGACGTAGTAAGCTCCCCACGAGGAGGAGAACCGCACGCTAACCAGGCACGCCTGGCACCTGCCGCGGGTGCAAAACCAACCTGCAGCCTGTTTACTAGTCAGTTTGTTATGCAGCCCAGCATCCCCCTGACTGATACACAGGAGGACTTTTCAAAACCCACCAAAGGTCTAGATCCCGCAGTCCGCGGAAGCATGCCAATCTCAACTTGCTCAATGAACAGAAAGTAACGGATAAAAGTCAAGGAGATAAAAGGAGTGGCAAGAACCAAGCTCTTACATTTCTGAAGCAGAAGGGAGGCGCTTCCTCGGTCCCATGTTGCTTGTGGTAATCGGCCCAGTCGAAGTCCTGGCCGGAGTAACCTGTGCAGGACAAAACACAGAGAAAACCCATGAACCCAGCCACATCGCGGACCAGTGAACCGGGGCGTGCCAGTGATCAAAGTGAGAAGGACTCCAACTACCGGCCCCCCGCAAAGGCGAAGCCCTTCCTCAGGCATCACGGTACGCCAGCTTTCAGGAGGGCTGCATGAAGCACTGTGCAAAGCGGAAAGGACCAGGGACGGCGAAGGCGTCCGCATCATCACGCGGTGCCTGACACCAAGCGGGAAGGGGCGGAATTTACCCCCGTCGGCGCGGGCCGGTGAGCACACCTGCTCTGGCGGAGAACAGACGAGACGGGCTGTCACACGAAACACAAACGCGCGACGCATTTTGCAGAAACACACGGTAACACGTGCCTTCATGTCAACTCTGAGTTCATGTGAACTTACTTCTCGGTATCTTCGTGAAGACCGTGAGATTTTATTGATAAACAACATAAGAGGGGGATAATTTTTTTAAGGAGGAGCAGCAGGTAAAACATACAGCAAAAAAGGAGCTGAGGTTCTTGGGAGAAAGCCCCCGAAGACACGGAAGGAGGGAAGGAATAAACCTCAGAACTGAGCTGTGGAGGAGGAAGGGAAATGCGAAGTGGGGAAGGGGGGGGCTTCCTTCCTGGGTGCAGTGCTGGGGGCACGTCTGGGACACCAAGGGACAACGCTGACAAACGGCTATTCACACGTCCTCAATTTAGTGAAATACAGATCTTATCAAAGTGGTTTTTTTCCTTTCTTTAGTCATTTCTTTTTTTGGTGGGGGGGAGACAGTTATACAAAATATGTCCGTCACGATCGCCATGACAAGACACAGGAGAAGTTTAAAACGCTAAGTTGAGTGTATGGTTGAACCTAGGTCAGAAAACAGCTCTTAACAGAGTGTCACTGTCATTTCCTGTGAACAAAGGAAGGCAGCGGAAACGACCTACAGAACCATTCAGGATTATCTGGAACTGTGAGGAAGGTCCCTATAATCATTTACTGCTCCCCCTTTATTGGTGTAAGCATAAGTAAAATAAATCCATAAGAGGCTTCTTAAGTATACTTTTAACCCAAGCCCCCCGATTTCTTTTCCCCGTACCATCATAAATTCAACATCTGCAAATGCATTTAACATGGGGGATTCTGTTACCAAATCCCACAGCTGCAGAGAGACTACAGAAATTCTCTGTTGAAGAAACAAGATACTGTCTGCGTCTCACCCCCATTTGTAATTGAAGTGAGTTCAACTTACTCACTTTTTTTTTTGAAGATGGGAGTGGAGGTTAATCAAGAAGGCAGCTGAACAGCAAACCATCTTCTGATATAACATAAAATGTAGGTGTTCTGTATGGCCAGTATCTGTTCAGATAAAATTTTCCAATTTGGGGGTCACCTCTGCTCCCCCCAGAGACAGACACGGAGCCGGCTTTTCTGCCACATTCATAACCACCAACTTCCAGTGGACTTCAATCCATTCCGTAAACGTCGTGCTCATGGTTTCTTGGACCCACATTCAACCCTTCCCTTCCAGCCTCCAGGACTCTCTACAGGGAGCCACTTCCAATCGGTAATTGCAGGAGAGAACCGAGTCTGGCTGGGTACCTAAAAGAGTAATTACCTCCCCTGGAACTCCCTGCTTTCCTTGAACATTTGGACAGCCTCAACTTCTCCTCCTCCTCCTCTTAAGGACTTGTATTCACTTCATCACTTAAAATTCTTCTCCTTGGGGCCGATAATGAGCTCCCTTTGTGAGGCAGTTTTGTGACAGTTTAGAAAATAACTGCTACATAAAAACAAATTGCTCCGGCTCGTCTAATAGAGACAACAGGGGTCAATTATTCTCATTCATCAACAGAGACAGAACAAGAAGTACTGAGACTTCACCGCGGCCAGGCGAGCATGTCTGAAACCCAGGAGGGAGGGGAACAGCAGAGGGGGAAAGAAAATAAAAGGAAATCAAAAAACCCCTTGGGCTATGAAAATCTGCAACGAGCTGCCAGGGAGACTGTCGAGCCTCCACCACTGGAGTTATTTAAGCTTTAATTAGTGTTTATTCTGAATGGAGTTCCAACTGTTACCGGTCCAAAAGGAAACAGGTCGATGACCCATTTCCTTACGATACAAATTAATGGACATAAAACAGCTCCACTGGCAAAGATGACTACTGGCAGTGCAAGTGGACAATTTTAAAAAAAAAAAAAAGCAATTTGGCAGTAAAAATGTTCGCGAACTTTGACACGATCATTTCACTTCTGGGAATGCACCCCATAAAAGCAATCCTGAAACCTGACCAAGTGTGACACTTTAAGATGCAGAGGCATTATTACTGATAATTCTGAGGGAGGGAAAAAAATCTTTACATCCAAAAATACGAAATGATACGAAACTTATCCAAGTCCGTGGAAAGTCACGTGGGCGTGAACATGCATGTAGTTTATTTTTTAGAAATCATGGAAAAAATGGTAACTGCAAGTTCAGATGAAGAGACTGCTACAGGCATATACAGAATTACCCAATTTACATTCAAATATGCAAGAAAAAGATCAGGCGAAACGTAGGGAAAACTTACTAGGAAATATCTGGGTTGTAGGATTCTTGGATACCTCTCTCTTCTACCTCCCTGAATTTTCCAAGTTTTTACTAATGATCATAAATTATTTAAGTAATACAGAATTTCTGAAAGCTCAGCATCTCTGCCCTGTTTTAAAAGACAAGGCACCGGTCACTCGATCCAGAACCACAGCATGACAGCCTCCCCTCAGCATCCTCCCTTTCTCTCTTTTGCTAACAGAACCCTGACTGTATCCAGTCCCCAGAGGAAGGCAGAGCTCCCCTCAGCACCAGGGAGTCAGCCATGGCATCCCCAAGACCATCATGGCAGCCTCACGCCCTTTGCTGGCGACTTGGGGTAGAGGAACGGGCAGGGTTTTAGAAAAGATTTCCCACTCAGAAACGAAAAGAGACCATGGGAATAACAGCTCCTGTTCCAAAAAAAAAAAAGTACAATCTTAATAAAAAATAAAAACAGCCGAAGAATGTCACATTTGCCATCTACCTGAACGGCAAAAATGAAGAACAATGAACACAAATCCACCCCTGTCAAGGCTGCTGGGAAACGGGCCCTGTGACACACTTCTGGCTGGGGCAGAACTTGAAAAACCACTGCAGGTGCTCATTTGGCAACGCGTTATCAAATCTTTAAGAACAGGTCTGCTCTCTGGTCCAGCCATCCGCTCATTCATGTACTCATCCATCCAAACGTACTTTTATTAAGTGCGCGCCCTGTGCTGCACATGGTTCTAAGACTAGAACTTTTGTTCACAGAAATGATCAAAACCGAGAAAGAATCCTTACCCTCTCAGAGCTTACATTTCGGTGCGAGGAGGCGGACGGCACAGCGGGAGTAAAAACTCAGATTGTCAGAAGTGCTACAGGTCTTAAATAAGGCAGCCAAGAAGGACAACCCCAGTAAGGTGACCCCAGTCAGACTGAAGGAGCAAGAGGAGGGGACAGCCAGTGCCGACGCCCCGAGGAAGGGGCGCGCCGTGGTCCCGGGAGGGCTGGTGTGACTGGGCGGACTGAGGGCGTCTCAGGGCAGCAGGCCAGTCAGGAGTGCTGTAGGCTGTCGCCAGGACCTGGACCCCCCCCCGGCCACTGAGCCACGTGGGGTGGCCCTGCGCAGCCTGAGCAGAGGAGGGGGCAGCTGTGGTTTACGGTTTAACACCATCAGTCTGGCTGCTGTGCTGAGAGTGGGCTGAGGACACTGGAGGCCACTGTGTTCCCTGGGGGAGACGTGAAGCCCACCTGACGAGGAAGGTGACAGGATAACCCCAGGTCACCCCCCGAGAACGTGGACTGGATTCACTGACAGACTCCGTAGGGGGGTGAGAAATACAAGAGTCCAGGGGAACCCCGTCTTCAATGGTATTTACAATTCTGTATTTCATTTCTTAAAAACCTGACTCAGATATGGCAAAACGGTAGCATCAGTTCATTCAAGGCAGGAAGTCCACGAGTGCAAGTTTATTATTTCTTTATCCCCATCGGCATGTCTGAAATATGAGATGACAGACAGGATTAAGTTCCATCAGTCAGGGTCTGAGGAAAAGAGAACACCCATCAGGGTTCACCACTCTGCGTCTCAATGATCATTAAAAAGCACGTTACTTCTTACATTAAGTTACGTCTATGTGTCTATCAGGATGGCCAGAGGGCAGAGGCAACGTGCAAACACAAGAAGTTTACCTTATCTTCTGCTCACACGTTTTACAACAGAAACGTTCCAGCTCAACGTTCTCTACAGAGACCCCCGGCTTGGGACGGGCTCGCTGCTCATTCTGCGACTAACCTCTGACGTTACGCGCAAGGAGGCTGATGAAGCGATTTTAAAATAGCAAGCCAGGGCTGTTAACCTGGACGCGTTTCTGCTTGTTTGGTCTGATCACTTTTCAAAGTGCCTTTAATATTGTTGTTTGTTGGGTTTAAACCAAGGGAGTAACATTTCCACGGGGACAACACTAAATAATTGCAATCCGTTCCAGCTTACACTGTTCGTATCTCAAGTCTGGGGACAGATTTTTTTTTAAATAGGAATGGAGTCAAAACAGAATAAACAGGGATTTACGTGCTTCGCACATCTCCTGTGCCACCAGGCGTCTTGTTTCATCAGCTGCTTCCTACCAGGGAGTGAGTGGGTTACCATCTCTTGAGGGTCAGGGAACAGGCTGTAATTGTAAGCAGTCTTCATGGTTCTAACAGAAACCTACACAATGTAATAAATCCTTCTGCGGCAGACATATCTGCAAGAAAACCTCTGAACTAAATCATACGTACTTCTCAGAATTTAAGTTAAAAATAACAAACTTGAAAAAAAAAGCATACAGTTTTATAGTTTTAGCAAAGATTCTCAGACCAGATGTTGACATATATGACATACAACAAGTGACCTCAAAAAGAAAGCATAAGATCATCACAGCCGCCCGCGGTGCGTGATGACCCCAGGGCGGAATGGCGCTCAGCTGGTGCGGGCTCACCTCCCAGTACAGTTACCACCACGAGTCATCCAATCCCCGGTGACGCGGAAAAGTTAGTGCAAAAGCCCTGCTCTATTTGAGGTTATTGGTTTATTTTTCTAAACTCCTTCTGATTTGCTGTTTCATCGTTCCCTTTCTTTCCCTTCCCATCCTCTCACCTCTCGCCTTACTACCTCTCCCCCAGACAGACCTCAGACCTACAGGGACAGCGTATCACGTCCCTAAGGATAGTCTGGTGCGTTCTCAGTAACGGTTTACGGATCTCAGCTGAAAATTACTTTCATGCACCCTGGTTCCCAACTTAATTATTCTAAGGTCTTATGGCATCTCATTGCTGGACATCTGACAGCAACTGGGCTCTGGGGAAAATCTGACTTATTGGAAATAAATGTTTAGAGAGATGCTTCATTCGCGTGTTGTTACCTGGTTAGAGCCACTTCTCAGACTCGTTCAAATGTTTAACCCCCATCACTTAGCAACACGTACCCTCTCTCAACACACAGACACAACAACAGGGAACCGCGGTTTACGGGGGAGCCCAGGGCCATGCTCCCCACCAGGGGAGGGGGCCGCACAGACTCCACGTCAAGCTAACCATGAAACGCACTCCTTTCCCACCACATCTAAGGTGTTTCCAGCATCAGCTGCTCCAGATCAGCAAAAGCATCACCACCCCGACAACACGACGCCCTCCTGAATCACCCAAACCCCGTACATCGTCACAGAATACAAACCTTTGGGAGGTGTGAGATCGACTCCGTTTTTAAGGCACCACTGGACTGGCAAAATCCCCAAAGAATCCGCATGGCACAGCATTGAGAGTTTACTAGGTTCGGGTCTTAGGTCATCAATAGTCACTTGAAAAAAATGATTGTTAAAAACCTGAAAGAAAAGGCAACAGAGCCGGGAGTTAATTCCTTGGGACTAACAGATAAGGGGAGCAAGAAACACTGGCATAGCTTGCAAATGCAGTAAGTACATTTCACCCCAATGACCGCGACACCAACCGGCATTTCAGTGTTTATCACGAAAGTGGTCCAGTTATTTAAAAGTTCATTGATCCCTTCGGACACATTAATGGAAAGTAAACAAATAACTAGAATATGTACGAGACAAAGAAGGAAAAAAAACAGCAGTTACTTTAGAGAAATAAACCCACAGCCAGAGCCAGGAGAAAACACACTGACGAAGCTGGGCAGACCCCGCCAAGACGGCTTTCTCAGCGTCCCCAGCAGACACCCACGCCCTGGCACCGCATCATTCAAGAACGCCCACAATCTGGCTTGGAGACGTCCAGCCTCACCTGGCATCCCGTCCCGCCCACCACCCTGCCCTCCAGCCCAGGGCGAACTCGTTCACACCAGGCCATGTCCTGACCCAGCGTTCTCAGAAGCCTGGAACAGCCCCTCCACCGTCCGTGTGTTTTTCAGGGTGCATCCCGAAAGGCAGCACCCATCCACCCCAGCGAAGCACCAGACATGTGCCCCAGAACCGACAACCCTCATTTCCCCCTGTGGATGGACACCACGTCTCTCCCTTCCAGCAGACCCCAGTCCTGTGAGGACGGCATCCTCTTTGTTACCCACCAAGATATTCCCACAATGCACAGAAAACACTCCGTGCACAGGAACCAGATAAACATCCACGGAGTGTAAGAAAGAACATCAGTGAGGAAGACAAAGAGAAACAAGCCACCTTGATGGAAAAAGCAGAGTGCAAGCATCAGGTGGACCACCACCCAGAAAAGCGTGCTGGGCTTAAGGAACCGAGTACGTGAAACAGACCGGGGGGAGAAATCACTTTCCCAACTCGGCAGACAGACCCCGTCTTTGTGAGGCAGCCCGGCACTCTTGCACTAAGCTCTGAGTCCTGGCTCCTCCATTCACAGAACACTTTCTGCCATCAACCTGGCTCGAAGCTGAGCAGGAAAGGAACTCGCTTCAGTTCCTCCTGATGTGAATTTCAGCTAAGGAGCAAGTTACAGTTACGAAGGTGACGATATACAACTCATCCGGGGTTTACTTTAATGCCCACAGGGACACGCAGTGACTTCAGTGTCACTACGGCTAGTAAGAGATGGTGGCCCTGTGCCGGGGCTGAGTTCACTGCTGGAAACCCACAGTCCTGAGTCTGAAATGCCCCCACCATCTCTCGAGGACCCAAGAGTCCACACGCTGTACTCCCAGCAGACAAAGGACGTCCTCCCCATCCTTTACAAAGTGGGCATCGAACACACTCGCTCTGTGATACCAGGGGTAAGAAGGGGGCTTCAGACAGCGCTAGACGGGGGAGACGGCGCCCCCGTGGGTTTACCCGGCGTCTCGGCAGAGCCTCACACCTGCGGTTTCCACCTGCTTGGCTGGGAGCGGGAAGACTCAGGTGGCCCACCCGGGGGGGGGGAGGGGAAGGCAGGCGAGGGGCCTCACCTTGGTCACAGAGGCAGGGCAGACACGGAAGGGCTCCCTCACATTCACCGCCTCAAGCTTCATCCCAACCGTGAAGAAATGGCTTCGCAAATCTGCGTGGTCCTGCAGGGAGAAGGACGAGGAGACTGAGAGCGACGGCATGGTAAACTAGCTCGGTCCATAGGTCTGCGTGCTCCTCCTCGGACGTCTGACGGGGCGACTGGAGTCGGATGGAAAATGGTTAGCCCTCCCCGTTTCAGGCTTCTAACTATGGCGAGGGACCGTCGATCTAATTGTTTCCTACGGGCTCTAAACTGCTTTTCCAAGGGAAACGAGCCTTTGGCTGCCCTGCTGAAATGCATCCTAAGCTAAAAGCAAGCTCACACCGCCCCGTGTTCACCTTTCTGCGTGTGATCAGTGGAGCACAGCGGAGTAATAGAGGCGACCAGCCTGCAAAAACCCAGCAGGACCGTCCCCAAAAAACCTCACCTCTTGCTCCTGGAGGTGCTTTGCAGGGCCTCCGTGAGGACCGTGTGGGGGACACAGTTTGTCCCCGTCTCCTGTGTCTGAGAGCACACAGGTTATCACTTCTCAGTTCTGGCACTGGTATTTGGACACGTGTAGAGAAGGTGCCAAGACAGCCCCGTGCACCATCAGAAGCTGGCTTCCACCCTGTGAAGACGAGGAACCCCCACCCCGCGTCGAGTGAGTGCCTGGCAGCTTTACGGACGGACAGCGCACAGCGATCTTGGTGAGGGTGCATGGAGCATTCCCGCCTTCTCAGGAAAACAAATTTCAATTAACCACTTTAGCTCTACGGCAAAAGATGAGGCTGGCTGGACCCTGGATACCAGGATTTACCTTGCAGGGTGGAGGTCACCTCCTAACTCCCAGCCTGCGTGGACAGGACTGGATAAATAAGCGTGTTTGCAGCCTTGCCCCTGAGAATGTGAGAGCCACAGAGAAATCCCGCTGTTTCTAAAGACACCAGGTGAGCGAGAAGTACAGAATATCTGGGGGAATCCAGGACTTTCTTTCATCTGCAAATCTAAAGTGGATGTTTTCGTGGGGAGGGGTAATTAGGTTTATTTATTTTTCATTTATTTATTTTTTAATGGAGGGACTGGGGACTGAACCCAGGACCTTGTGCAGGTTAAGCACACGCTGTGTGCTGAGCTGTACCCTCCCCCCTCCGAAGTGTGTTTCATTAATTCGAAGGCGTCATTCTGTATCCAGCTCGGAAGAGTGCGCTGAGCCCGCAGGGCTGCACCTGCGCCCTCCACAAAGCCTGGTCAGCACAGGACCACGGAGGACACCAGACCAAAGAACTACTTAGAAAACTCACCACCCCTGCGCTGCTTCACCAAAGAAAGCACAGGTTATAAATGCCCTTGGAACCACAAGGACCTGTCATTTCTCATGGCTCCACAGCCATCTGCCAGACTCTGCACCCCGGAGACATGTAATGAATACATGCTGGGTCGGCCTGGGGCACACGGTGCCTCGTCCAGGGAGGCGGCTGATCAGAATGAGATAGGTGACGCCCTGGATGTGCCAGGACTTTACAGGACAAAAACTTGCTGACCTTTACAACCAACACTTTCATAAAGACCATTCTCAGGTGCGGGAGATGATTTCCTTTTTTTTTTTTAAACACTGAAAATAAAAGCATTGATTTTAAAAAGCAACACACACCTTAACCCATCAGTGCTATTTCCTACATTCTGAGTTAAGCCCTAACCTAAACTGAATGCAGAGAAAGCTGGAGGATGGGGTTACCGACATCAAGAAGTTGACATTTAGTTAGAACGAGACTGAGGTGTGACAAATACGAACATAATGCTGAAAAAAGACGCCACCATATACTGAGTTGTTCTGAATTCAGAGGACTGACAGGTGTCCCACGTCATTCCACCTGTGAAGCAGAGGTCAGGACAATCGGACAACCTCAAAGCACCCCCCGGGTGCCCACTGGTCACCGAGGTGCCTTGGAAGGGACTGCGTGCCTAGAAAAAAATCCTGGGAGAATCAAGCATCACTACTTAAACACTGCTGCGCACAGCTGCGTTCACAGCGGTCACCCATGAGTGAGCACCAGCCCGCACTTGCCCAGCAGAGCAACAGAGCTTCAGGGCGGACACGGAGGTTCTTTATGAAACACAGTGACCATCAGGATGAATCTGCAGGAGGACGTGAAGAGGATTGCTAACGGAGAGACAGGAGACGGGCAAGAAGAAAGAATGTTCGATCACTGTGGGTCCCACTCATCTCCCGCGTGCCGCCTGGATCTGAACTCTCCGTTTACTCTGGAGGATGCTGGAAGCGTTGCTGGTTACGCTCTTACAATTTAGCGCGTGCCTGTCACAGGCTCCCGGAATAGCTGATGCATCCTGCCATCCCTGTTTCATCGGATAAATACACCCTACGTGACATAAAAATAGGGAGGATACTGCTTGGGGGAAGAAGGAGTTTGAATTAATTAACACAACACAATTTAAAGGCACTTGGTGAGGATTTTCACGTAAGACAAGCAGTGACCGACTCCCTGTGCAGAAACCAGATCCTTACCGCCCGAGCCCCACCACTGAAGCCACAGGAAACAGCCTTCGGTGGCGGCCGTCCGAGCATTTCTCCTTAATCTTCCGGTTCTTCCTTTTTGTTTACACTGATATTTCTTAAGTACAAAGTTTTTTCGTGCATCAGACACAAAAACACTGCACAGTAGAATTTTTCTTGTTCCGATATGCCTGTTTTCTGGGTCCGCAGGGAACTTAAACGTTGCATACGCATCTTTTCAGATGCCTCAATTAATTTGTACCATTTCTGAGAATAAGCTTCAGAGAAGTCAAAGGAAGGCTTTAATTAGCATTACGTTCAAATGGATACAATGACCTCTGCTTTCATTCCTTTATTTATAGCCGCATCAAACGCCACGCTGAAGAAGAACCTCAGTGCAACTCATCACATTCTTCCTCTTTGTTTTCCCAAAGATCTAGTGCTCTTACGTTCATTAGATAATTACTCTCATTACGTTGCTTTCATCTCAAAATGGACATTAGAACTCCAGCGTTTATTAAATCAATAGCACTTCTGACATTTCAGTCCCCTTGCACTGAACTAAATTTAGCCAAGGAAATATTTCTAACAAAAACGTAATAAAAAAAAACTATACGCTGAACACTAACAAGCGTTTGCATTTTTTTACTTACAGCTGTAAACAGCAATTTTATCAGCTGGTCGCGCATTCAATCAAGTTAAAAAATGGTCACGAGAAAGCGGAATGCTATGTACTTCGACTCGAACCACAGGAATTTATAACAGGCGATCACAGCAAGCTTAGTTTCACAGCCAGCCCCCAAACTGGTGCACTGGGTTGTTTTAAAACAACGCGGGTAATAAGAATGCCTTTCACTGATTAACACTTAGCACCATACAAGCATCTGTAAGTGGCAAGAAATCCAGCCTTCCTCACAGCACCGCTAGGGAAAAAAACAGAACAGGGCTGATTCTGGGGGCGCAGTGAACAGCGGTTATCACCCCGTCTGTTCTGGTGCTTAGGTGACTTAATTCTCTCCTAATGAGTGAGGGTGTCTCCCCATGCGTCAGCCCGACTCCTGTGGGCTAAAGAAAACTGGTCTCCCAGTTTATCCCTTTCTACCCCTTTTCCTCCCTGCTAACTGTAAATTTGCTTTTTTACATCTGTCTGTCTCTATTTTGTAAATCAGTTTGTTTGTGTCATTGTTTTAGATTCCACATATAAGTGGTATCATACGATATTTTTCTTTCTTTCTGGCTGACTTCCCTTGGTATGACGATCTCCAGGTCCATCTATGTTGCTGCAAATGGTATTATCTCACTCTTCTTTATGGCTGAGTCGTATTCCATCGTATAAATATATCACTTCTTCTTTATCCAGTCATCTGTCGATGGACATTTAGGTTGTTTCCATGTCTTAGCTATTGTAAATAGTGCTGCTGTGAACATTGGGTACTTCTCAAATTAAAGAGGACAATAATGCAGGTACTTGTTAACCTGCCCGCTGACCTGCCCCCGTGGCTGCAATGGGCTTGCTATTCTTAAAGAATAAGCTATCGTTTCAAACCCAAGACAAGCAGACCAGTCACCAGGGTTGGTGTGGGTCCTTGAGAGAGCATTAGCCATGAGGCTACCTTCACACACACACTCCAGAAAACCCGACTGCAACTGGCATAACCCATAAGGAAATCCACGGTGGCACATGAGAAAGAATTCCGGAGGAAGGAAGGGCACCTCCAGGCTGGTGAAGGGAGCAGCCAACAAGGTCACAAATGGCCCTGTTCTTTCCCTCCTCCTTCGTCAACATCCTTTATGAGACAACCCTACCCAAGTCCAGTGCCCGTCCTGGTCTCAAGATGATGCAGAAGTTCTGGGATTCTCAGAGGAGGGAAAGAGAGCCACAGCTTCCTTCTGCCTCTTCTTAAAAGCAAGGAAACTTAGTCCAGAAACCACTCGGCTGATATCCTCACACGGTGCTGACCCCAGCTGGCCACAGGCCTATCCCTGAAGCAACACTGATGCAAACCGTGGGACACACTCCCGGCCTGCGGCAGGCTGCTCCTTCTGCGCCGGGGGCACCGCCCCATCCGGGAGGCAAAGGCATCCGCCAGTATTACCACAAAGCATCACCCAGTCCCCAGAGCCAACAGAGCCTCCGTCAAAGGCGACTGAAGAACCACCGCAATCCAGCTCACTTGCTGCCTGACAGGCAACACGTGATCCTCTCAGGACTCCCCTTCTGGTTCTTCGTTACGATAAGACCTACCGTGGCTCAGCCCCTGAATATCCTAGCTGACTTCCAGGGACCCTACAGAAGCCGCAGGAGAAAGCTGCGGCCGAGGGGATCCAACAGACGGGGCGTGTGGGTCCCGGTTCCACCACGCGCTCTGGGTGAGGGAGGACGTGGGATCACTCCTCGGAGTCCCGAGCGTGGCCAAGTTACAGCAACGCTGGTGACCCCTACGAGCCAGGTCACCCTGAGGACAAGGAGGCTACGGACGGCACCCGGTACCATCTTCTCCACACTGCCTGAGCTCAACAGTCAGAAGCAATCACCACCACCACCGCGACGACGTCCCGCTGACACC